AGTGTAAATGATTGATGGGGTGTTGTCCTAATGGGTAATCCCAAAATTTAGGACAGTTTCAAGGAAAGAGAGCAACATGTCTTGAACGAATTTCATCTTCTGTGGACAAACACATGCTGTGTCTCAAATTCTATCATGCATGCTAATTAAATGGAATTGACTCTATTTACATGGGGCAATATCCACTCATTTTTTTCATTGCTTCCTTACTTTCCAAGAATTAGCCCTTGTTATTAGGCACAGCTGTTTGGTTACAAACTATAATTTCTGGAACTTTTGTTCCACAGTATTCTTCTAGAGCCACATATTTGTTTAATTCCTAGCGTCCTTAATTTGTTGCCATTCCTTAATTCATTATGGACAATTATTTATCAGCATGGCATATGGTATGTTGAGGGCACTAGTCCTAACCACCAACTATATTTCAAAATATATTTGTCGACAATATTTAATTTTGAGAATTTTGATAAATTTTTTAGGAGGTTGACTTGAAATAGAAGCGAACAAATTATATACTCCATAATATAGTTAAATAATAATTTCGATATAAAATAGCAGGGCTTAATTAAGTTGCATGCATCCCTGCTGCCATTTCTTAAGTAATAGAGGGATGTGGCATGCTAGTGGAATTGAAATTAATTTGGTAAATAGAAGAAAAATAAAGAAAGATATTTTCGGTTAGAAAATAATTTAAGGACAATATTTTTACACTATTTTTTTGTTGTATCATTTAAATAATTAATTTTTTTATTCATTTGAAACTCATGATATTAAATGTATTCATTTATTTAATTATATATAAAAATTATATAAAAAAAATGATACAAATGATTGTTCTTATATCATTACCCTTCCCGGTTTGGACTAACTGAAAATCAGGTCAGGTTGGGTATGAAAAGACCATTTTGCCATAAATAAATAGGAAAAAAAGAAAGGAAAGAGGGCGCAAAATAGTCTTCTCACGTTCAGATTGGCTGAAATTCACGTTAGCAACTAGAGTTGCCAATTTCACCAAAAAAAAAAACTAGAGTTGGCCAAAAAATTAAAAAAAAAAAAAAACTGTTCGAACCTTCGGCACCCACTGTGAAAAAAAGAATAATAATGGATATATTTTGATATATTAATTATTAAAAATTATTATTTTTAAATTTAAATTTAAAATGAAAAAATTTTTAATTACAAAATTTAATAACTAAAGTGACAGATATTAACAGATATATTAAATCAGATAATGCATTAATTACTTTTTAAAAAATTAGTGATTGGGCCCTGTTTAATTAAGTCTCTTTCTCTAACCTAATTTGTACATAATTTGATTCAATATTAAGAATTAGTACATGGTGGCAAAGTTAGAAAGAATCTTGGTAGGCACATCATGCAATATATAGAAAATTTTAGGGTTTTTTTTTTTCTTTTCTTTTAAAATCTAATTGAAGTCCTCGAGAACAAACCTTTCTCATTGGCGCCAACCGAATTATAGGTTTAGGGCTTCATCTGCCCATTAGCAAAATATAAACAAACAGAACAATTATGAAAGCTTAAAATCAATCACTAATTAATTAATTTTAGAAGTTGTACTAATAAACTCCTACCAAGAAAAATTGTTAAATTAAAATGAATAGGACCACAAGGTTTGGTCAAGTCAATAAATGAGTATTATCCTTACATTTATAATCAAGATTTAATAGCTTGGGTAAGTTAAGTAATTAATGAGGTTATAAGGAAGTAGTAAATATAATCCTTTTAATTAATTTCAAGGTAAATGATTGATGGTTTGACTTCTCTACATTTATAGATTGAATCATTGCTTATTAGGCCTTAGTTCTAGTTTAGTCTCAAATACTCCATGTAATAAATTATGAGTTACTATTTCCAGCTTACTAACCATCAAGGATCTAAAAGTCTAAAAAAGAGTTTTTTAACATATAATCTATATAATCTTAAAGGTACAAGTTAAGGGTATTTTTTTTGTAATAAATTTATATAAAAAAATATAAAAATAAACATTAATTTTAAAATCAATATCATATAAATAAATTTAATTAAAAAATTAATAAATTAAATATTATTTTTTATTTTTTCAAGACTTTTAATATATATCTTTAGACATGTCAGAGCACAATGTTTAATCTAACCAGCGATTAATTTGCAAGGGTGGATAATTGCTTGGAAGTTGGAAACAAGATCCCTATTAAGAGGGAATCTCAGAATAATGGGATCAATATCTTGCCCTCTATATATGTTAAGCCTAATCAAAAGCTTATTAGGAATAAAAAATAGATAATGGGGAGACTCTCCAATTCTTTAGACATGTTTGGGGGCAAGGGGGCAATGTAATGACGTGAACCCCCAAAGATTCTCTTATCTAAATACTACTAGTGGCAGTAGTACTACATAGGTAGCCGCAAAATATATGTATAACTTCTCCCTTTTGGCGGATATTTTTACATGGGATTTAGAGTTTAATTAAACTCAATCATCATGTCCTGGTTCAATATATCCATCCAATGCCTGTAAAAAAACTCAGGGGTAGCATTGAGGAGTGCACGTGTCTTGTGGATGAGATTTCACGTGGGGAGCTGTTCCATGTGCAAAGATGTGCAGCAGCCTTACAAAGTTGCTACACAAACAGCTTGATGTTTGAGCACTGGCCAGCCTAATTTCGATGGTCCCTCGCTCAAAAGTTGCTATAATGATTTCTAGTGAAATAGAGAAAATTTCGAAAATAATAGTTTCAAAAAAAATATTTTGTAGTTTAGAGTACCAAGCATTAACCATTAGATAATGAGGGGCTCTTCGGTTATGAGTGATAGTCTTTCTTTTTAATAATTGGTATTTTACAATTGAAATTACAAGATATTAGACTCGGATAGTTTTAAAACTTTTTTTTTGTAAATTTGTATATAGAAGTTTAGAGTGAGAATAGTTACCCAATTCAAGATCGGAAATGACATTAGCTTTAACAAGGACTTATAGTAGGTGCTTAGAGATCACCTATACAGAAGGGATTGCATGCAATGAGACTCGAATATAAGCATAGTAAGGCAAAATCTTCGATCCTTACCAACTTAGGGGATGCTGTAGTGCATGGACTTTCAAGTGTTCGATTAATAATACTATCGATGCAGTTGGTAGGATCGATCCCAAGAAAATTTCAAGTGTCCTTGGGCTCTGCTAACCGTGATTGAAGCAGATTTAATCACAAATCATGGAATTAGTTAGTCTATCAAAGATAGGATAAAGCCAGATAGCTGATCCAAATGTAAAAGAAAACATGACAGATAAAGGAAATGCAATTATTGGAAACATGTGAAAAGCAGTTATGGATCAAGCTTTTAAGTTTTACGTCTGCCATTTTGGGTCCAGACTCAGAGCTTCTTCAGTTCTTGGAATCTTTTTTTTTTTTCCAGCACACCCCCACCAGCCTTCCATATATCTCTCACTTGTTTCACAAACAAAAGCAGAAACTAAAAATCAAATTCTTTCCAGCTTGTTCACTACATCTCCTCCCTTGTGCTGCCTATCCCCAAAGTAAGAGGAATCTGATTTTCCATCCATAAGAAAGTAATCATTCTCCAATTTGATTTGTTGTTGATCACCATTCATTTTGTTTAACCAATCAAGGGAGGAGAATCTCATATCCAATAGTTAGTTATAAGTAGGAAGTCAATCATTGGTGCAACATAC